TACAGCAGGAAATCCATTTTTGATAGACATGCTTACCTTACCGAAGGAAGGTAAGGAAACAAAGAATGTCAGGGCAGAATTGATGCATACATCCTGAGTTTGGGAATGATGCTTTCCTTTGGTTGAAACAGCATGTTGAAGATCATCATCTTTATTCCTTGAACTATCTGCACATGGGTGACCCGAAAATATGGTACGGAATCCCTGGAGACCTTGCTTTGTCTTTTGAGAATGCAATGAAAAAGCATCTTCCAGATTTGTTTGAAGAACAACCGGACTTGATGCATGAACTTGTGAGACTAATTTCTGGAATCTCCTTTTTCAGTACATGCCTCAAAATTTTTGCAGAGAGAAGCATCTAATAATTACGATACTTTCTTTTTGTCAGGTCACTCAGTTATCTCCTTCAATCTTAAAGGATGAAGGAGTACTTGTCTACCGAACTGTCCAGAACAGTGGAGAATTCATTCTTACCTTTCCAAGGGCATACCACTCGGGATTTAATTGTGGTTTTAACTTTGCAGAAGCAGTAAATGTCGCGCCCGTTGATTGGCTAGCGCATGGACAGCAGGCTGTCGAGCTCTACAGTAAGCAACGTCGGAAGAATTCATTGTCGCATGACAAGCTGCTTCTTGGAGCAGCTAAGGAAGCTGTTCAATCCTTATGGGAGCTTTCGGTTTCGAGGAAGAAAACTCCTAAGATACTGAGGTGGAAGAGGGTTTGTCGTGAGGATGGATTGCTAACGAAAGCAGTCAAGGTGAAGAATAGTTGAATAATTAAGAATCTGAGCTAAGGTCTATGACTATAAATGAATATGTATTTATGTAGGAAGGAACTGATGTGTCTCTTGATGCATTTCTTTGCGCATGAGAAGCTATGCATGCAAATATATACACACTAAAACGAGTCAAACATATATTTAAGGCACAGTTCCCGGAACTAACATATTCAAGATTGCAGAAGCGGGTGCAGATGGAGGACGAAAGGCTAAACCGTCTTCAAAATAGCTTTAGGTTGCTAAATATGGAGGATGATTTTGACTCAAAGAGAGAAAGGGAGTGCTTTTTGTGCTTCTATGACTTGCATCTGTCTGCTTCAAGCTGCAAGTGTTCCCCTGACCGATATGCGTGCCTTACTCATGCAAAAGACTTGTGCTCATGTGAAAGCAGTGAGAGATTTGTCCTCCTCCGTCATAATTTGGATGAGTTACATTCAATGGTTAAAGCATTGGAAGGCGATCTTGACGCTGCGAAAGTATGGGCACATAAATGTTGTGACAAAAGTTCTTCCCATTTAGGTATCGAAGGCTTAGAAAGTGATGCTGGCACAAACAAGCTGGTGGAGTTGAAACATGATGGTGACGAAAACAATGACAAGAAAGCTGTTGATGATGAAAATCTCGACAGCATCTGTAAGTTGGATGAGGAGAAGATAATGGTTGAATCTCAAAAACAACATATGCATCGAAATGTGGAACATAGTGGATTGCCGAATATAGATGGTGGTGGGTTACTGGTAAATGCTTCTAAAAGGGACCAGAACAGAGCAACTGAAAGTTTAGGTCACTCTGTCGAACTTTTGCAAGCTGGATCTCTTGTTGTTAAGAAGCTTTGGTGCACTAAGCAAGCAATATATCCAAAAGGTAATACTGTATTGACATATTTTACGTGTTTGTGTGAGATTTTTCCTTGGATTCTTAATTGCCCTCTTAAGAGTTTGCTTCTGATTAACGGCTGCAGGATTCAAAAGCCGTGTAAAGTTCTTGAGTGTTCTTGATCCAACAAAAGTAACCTACTATATCTCAGAGATTCTGGACGCAGGGCTTCTTGGTCCATTGTTCAGGGTAGGGTGATTGTTTTGTGGTTTCAAGAATTTGGAGTTCAATATGTTCGATCTCTGTGTTACAGCCAATTAGAACGATGATTGCAACATCATCGGATCTTTCTGATTCTTTTTAGTGTATTTCAGGTTTCAGTTGAAGAATTCCCAAGCGAGAACTTCTCAAACGTATCAGCTGAGAAATGCTGGGAAATGGTGATACAGAGGCTCAGGCTCGAAATCCTCAAAAGGTGCAATCAACCACCTGAGCCGTCATCCTCTTTGCTGCCATTGCAGACTGTCAATGGGTTTGAAATGTTTGGATTTCTCTCCCCTCAAATAATCCAGGTAATATGCTTGCTTTTACTCGGCGGTTAATCTGGTTAATCATGTTTTTGAGAATTCTCCTCCGAGGAAAAGACGGTAAAAAAGGTTCATGCTTTCCTGGTTGCCCGAAGATAAAGTTCCCACCTTTTCTGTCGCCTATTTTCTTTTAGCTTCTCGTCTACCTTGCAAGTCAGCATGGCTAAGGATCATGTCTTGTACATGTTCTTGGATCAAAACACGCCAATGGTTTTCCTTTTTTTTTTTCATTTTCTTGTGTTTGATCTTTGCCCATGCCCAATCCTCTGAAACTAAATTGTCCGATGATAAAGCTCCCGTTTTTTGTCGCCTATTTTTTTTACTTTCTCGTCTTGCTTGCAAGTCACCATGACTAAGAATTGTGTCTTGTACATGCCCTTGGATCAAAACAAAACAAGCAAATGATTTTCTTTTTTCTGTCATTTTCTCTCGTTTGATCTTTGCCAATGCCCAGGCAGTCGAGACTCTTGATCCAAATCATCAGCTTGAGGAGTACTGGAACTACAAGTCGGAAAAAATTTCCGGGTTCGACTCGACTAAGGTAGGGGAAAAGAACACGGGAGAAGAGGCGGCACCAGATCCTTCGTTGGATCGAGACACAAGGCTTTTGAGAGGGCTGCTGACGAAGGCGACACCCGAGGAGCTTATACTGATGCACGGACTTCTCTGTGGACAATCAAGTGGCACTGAGCTGAGGGAAGAGCTTTCTTCGCTGGTGGATCAGATGGAGAAGAAGGGTTCTTGATGAACACACAAAAAAGGAAAGAAACAGCCACTCACTCAGGTTTTAGTTTTGTTCCTTCAGAGATTCTGGCATATGTTGTTTAGAATAAAACAAGGGTACTCAGTTTGTAGAATCTTGTTGTTGTTGGCATTTATATGAGCAAACGGCATAATTAGAAATAATAATGGCAAGAAAACTGAGCAAGTGTTGATATGTAATGCAAGATTATATTTAAGAAAAAATGTAACATTTAAGTATTGAGCGAAACAATGGATTATCATCTCCGAGAGTAATCTACTTCCCACCAATGAGGAAGAGACTCTCTCACGTTCATGACATGAAGTTTTGAGTTTGGAGTGGTTTAGGTCGGAAGTAGACATACAACGTTAATTCTGATACACTAACTGTTCAATTCCTAACACATTTTATCATCATCCATTACACTATAAATCAAACCCACGAACACAAATCCATCATCATCACAATCAAGACTCCACAAAATCCTCTGAGATCAAAATTCTGAAGAAATACCAGTCACCATGACAATGCCGAGGGCTTATCTCCATCTTCTCGTTCTGACAACCTTTGTTCTCATTCTCCTCGGTGCTAGCCCGTCCATCTGCTCCCGGGCGAAACTATCGTCAGAATCAGCTTCAGCAGATAAGCTCAAGGAAGAATTTCCAGCTCCAGCATGGCTTGTTTCCCGAGGCGAGAAAGATCATACCTCCGTCAGTGATTCCTCCTCTTTAAAGGGATTCAAGGTGGATCCTGCAAACACAATGGTGGCTGGCTTTTTCAAGTCTAGGTTCCCATTCCCTGGTTGGCCTTTCCCTAAGTACCCTCCCGTTCCATTCATGAAACCGACCTTCCCTTCTGTTCCTACCACTCCAGGAGCTGAGCAGTCCGAGAAGTTGCCTTCTCCCCCAAGCCCGGGCAAGGATAACGGCAGTGCAGGGAATCCATGAAACCAGATCGTGTAGAACCTTTGTGTTTTAAAGTCTGATCAAGCTTCTCTAGTTTGCATTGTATCAAATAAATGTACCTTACACAATGAGTGTCCTTTGGCATTTACATGAGAAATGAATGAAAAAATTAGTTAAGACATCTTTATCAAATGGAGGAAAAGGAGTCAACCGGTTACCCGAGCTAATCAACTTGAGGTGACTTTCAAGTTAACAGATACCGGAATATTTATAACATGGCCCATGTTTCCAAAGAGTCCAATCCTCCCAAAACTGGCATTAGAGCTGTTCTTCGATGCGTCAAGTGTCACATTAAGTAGCTGAGTTCCTCCGCTGGCTATAGAGAAGCGAGTAGGAGATACCTTCATTGAAACACCATAAGGAGGGCTCCAACCGACACTATAGGTCTCGTTTACAGCAACGTTTGCCATTAGTCTGAGAATGGTTTTGGTGCCATTAAGTTTTGAGATTGTGATGGATGGCAAGTTCAGGTCTGAACCAGTGATGGTTGAGTTACTACTAGACCAACAGTTCTGCCCAGTGTAATTGAACACCACTGGTGCGGATCCATTGATCCCACAAAGAAACGACATATAATCTTCAAAACCTGCAGAAGAAGGGCAACTCATGGGTTCAAACTCAGTTAAACCGAAATATGGAAGTGAAAATAAAGAAGAAGCTAGTGTTAAGAAAATTCAACTTACTAGTATCAAAAATCAGACCCGGATCCAGAGCTGCAGTTGCATTAACGAAACCGTTTCCCATATCAAATGGAGTTGCGGGAGATTGGTTTTGGTCGGGATTGGAGTAAGCACGCTGAGCCATTATCGGCCCTCCTTTATTGTCTAAGAGAATAGCACTTGTTGAAAGTGCAGAAGCAATGGCTGAAGGACTGAAATTAGGGAACTTTTGCTTGATTAGTGCAGCCACCCCTGCAACATGAGGAGCAGCCATGCTCGTCCCTGACATTATAGCGAATTTCTCACCTAAAACAAAAAAGAACAATGCTTGAAACTTGTAGGAAAAGAACAAAGAACACTTCTTGTCTGAATTCATTATCAGATCAGATCCATGTACCTTCAAACTCGACCGAATCAGTGCCAGCGGAACTCCAAGCAGCCCATATGGAATTTCCGGGGGCTACCAAATTGGGTTTCAATATGTCAGCATCGTTAAGAGAACTGTCTTCTGGATCGGGTCCTCTTGCTGAGTAATACATAACCTTGGGAGCTCTGTCACTGAAATTAGCTTGTAGACCACCTTCAATGCTTCCCACTGCACCAAATTTGACAATTTCCTTGGTGGTTCCATCTCTTTCTAGAGAAGAGTTGTAGTACTCAAGTAAAACCTGTGAAGCATTTCATAACATCAGAAATCCAATCAGAGTCAACATGAACTGTAGTATCAACCAGCGTTCATTTCTTCGGATGTCTTGAACCCATCGATAAAATTTGTCAATGCAAGAAGAAAAAGATTATGTTCACACCTTGGAATCTTCCGGGGATGGAATTATGATGCCCGACATATCCATGGGAGTCGGGTTAAGCTGAAAACCGAAGACATATGGGTCCATGTAGAACACAACACCAGTGGCCGAGAGGTTTTTTGCAACATCTAAAGCTTGTTTAATGGTGGAAAGCCCGAGAACGAAGCGGATAGAGTAGCTACATATCAAGAGATTCCCATTTACAAGATCTTGATTGAAACTGTCCTGATCTTGGCATTCCCCAACATAAATGTCTTTATCAACAGAGGTTCTGTTGTTCAACGCATGTAGAGCAGATACCATCCTGTACATCTTCCCTTTGTCGGTAGGAGCTGGAAGAAATAAGACAGAGATCAAGCTAGACATCGGATACGTATAACCATTTTAGTTGGTAACAAATAACAGATGGTGAAACATAGCTCATGATCTGATTTGAATGAGATATATAGTTAGGAAAGACTTACGTGCAAGTCCTACACCTGGAATAGTTACATTGTTGCCAAGGACGATAGAGTTAGAGTAAACTCTATCATGAGAAGCAGCACCGACTGTGAAAATCCATGGGCTGAAGGAAGACATGCTCTTAGGAGATGGACCCGTGTTTCCAGCCGCTTGGACAACGAAAATTCCAGCCTTTACTGCTGATAGAATTGCCATATCTATTGGATTAAAGAATGTGGCAACACCAGGAGGACGCCGATTAGGGGTAATGGATAGGCTTATTATGTCGACTCCATCTTGAGCTGCCTGAAATCATATGCCACTCAAATCATCAGATAACTCTCACACTTCGGACTGGATTAGAACATTAAAACAATCATTCGAAAACAAAAGCCAAATGCACTATGGTCATGTTGCTTCTACCTGGTCTATAGCAGCAACAACATCTGCAGCAAAGCCTCCGAAGCTCTTATACAATGCCTTGTAAACAGAAACGCTGGTAAAGATTGAAATTTCTTAGCGGGTATGAAGCAAAACAGTGGAAAGAAACTTTGAGCAAAGCTATATATCAATGTGCTCTATATATCCTCCTAAGTTAGTGTGGGAGAATATTTAGTGGGTGTACTATCTGGCTTTAAAGAAACTACAGTTTTTGTGGACACTTAGCTCCATTTAATGTGTGTTATTGACCAGAATCATTCAGACAGTCAGAAGTAGTTGAACTATAAGATAGAAATCCAATGCTTTTGGCAAAAAAACTTTCACAACTGATCAAGTTTTAGTTACTCACTGTGCACGAGGAGCAATCCCACTAGCATTTCCAAAGTCATGCCCAGCAACTATCACTGGGATCCCGTGGTTACCTGCTGCAACAGAAGCTGTGTGCCTGTATATATATATATGATAACACAATCTTTAGCCACAATCTGAGTATATCATAGCATTGTATATAGTTTCAGCATAACCAGAAGCTTCACATACGTGCCATGGCCATCTCCATCAAAAGGCGAAGCATAATCCTCAGAAGAGTTGAATATTCCTCTAGTTATAGCTGACTCTGCGAAATGGCGGGCTCCAACAAGCTTCCTGTTGCAAGAACCTGCTGGAAAATCTGGTGTGACCTCACAAACGCCTGAGAAATGCTTAGGGATCGGATATGGAGGCTGAGAAATGCCGGTATCATTGAAGCTCGGGTGAGTTGGATCAACGCCAGTGTCTATAAACCCTATAACAATTCCTTCTCCAGCTGTTTCATATCCACCTTCTTGAACCCATGCACCTTGTGGCAGACCCATGAACTGTGGAGTATAAGTTGTTGCTGTCCTGACAGAAAAATCCAATACTATGTTTGCTACTTCCCTTCTCCTTGAAAGCCTCTCAGCCTAAGAGATGAATTAAGAGGAAAGATGTCAAAAACAGTGCTTCTTTCCAAGTTTTTTCACATAAGACGGCCAAATTTGCAAAAACCTGTTGAGGGTTAACAAGAACAGCAAATCCATTGATCAAATAATGGTAGCTATAGAGCTTTAGATACTTCTCCCCCTTCAATGCCCTTTTCAGTAAAGAGTCATGGGCTTGAGCAATAGACGGCCTCCTCGACCTCCCATGGCCGGTCCTCCTCGAAATGTTCCTATACTCAAAAAGAACCGAAGTATGGTCAAAAGATTGGGTGATTCCATGCAACTTTTTGGAGTTTAACAAGCAAACAATTTACATGTGAACCCCACAGAAAGAAGCAAGAGGGAACCCCACCATTGTGGCAAGTGGTTTCTTCAGCAGTGATAGTAAGCAAATAAGACGAGATCAAGTCAAATAACAATTCAGCTTACAGAATTGTAAAGAGAACCAAAAATCTGAACGAAATAGACGCAAAATCCAGTTCCCAGACTAGTTGAGAACATATTGTTGAAGTTCCTGGATTCATACTAACACTATTGAAATCGAAAATTCGAACAACGAAGCAAAATTCTGTACCTTGGTAGTGGTTTTGGCTTAGTAAAGGTTGAGGTACCGCCATGGTTGGTTTTGGACCGATGGTGACTATTTCCAACCCGTTTGAGCTCTTCTTCTTCAAAGAGATGAACAGTAGGAGGTTGTCTCAGAGTGACAAGGTACACAGCAGTAGTGTTCATGTCGGAATCATCATCTTGTCCCAAGGTGTTCGACAAAAACCCAAAACAGAACACAGCGAAAATCCCAAAACCCACCAATGAAATCTTCCCCATTGTCCCCAGAAAGAAGAAAAGGAAGGATGATTGTTCAGTGGTTTTACGCAGGAAAGGATGCCTATTATACTCAAAGTCTGCAACTTTTCATGAAACCGACCTAACCCACCAATCGCTGCTTCACCAACGAAGAAGCCACAAAGAAACCGGCAATGCGAAATGGTGGGAGAATAAAGAAAAGACAGAAAAGATACGAAGAGAAGAAAAGCTGCAGAGAACCCATTAAGCATTCATGGCGAACAAGTGGAATTGCCAGTAAAAGCAGTCGCCTTTTCGTGTCGGAGAAGGTGAAAGAGCGAGTGCTTATTAATACAATTCAATAACACACACACACACACATATATATATACACATACATACATTGCATGTGTGGTAGAGCAGAAGCCGAAACTCACGAGCGATCTGCAACTTTTCTCGGATTCTGTGAATTTGAACGTTTTAATTATAAAGTCCAAAAGTAAAGAGAAAATTGTACAATAATGTGATTGGAAAACAGAGAAATGGAATTTTGGCTTGTGTGATCATGCGAATTTTAGCTGTTGGAGGCTGTCGGGACTCTTTTTTTTTTTTTCAATTCACAAAAAAAAAAAATGACCGGAACGGTCGGTATTGTAAAATGTAAATATGAATGATTTCTTAGTTAGAGACCATAATCCATTCATCCAATATATTATCCACTCGCAATTTCATTCGTACGGTCTTGCATTTATATAGTTTCTGTATTTAGTATATTTCAAATTATTACCTTTTTTATTTTCAATCAATCATTGATGTATTTATTCTAAATTGTACCGGAAAACTATGATTTTCCGATAATAGAAGTCTGATGTATATTATTTTAATTGACTAAAAAAACACCCCACATTATACTCTTTTGGAACATTATAATACCGAATCAAATAATATGTTAGTGTAAAAAAAATGAATTCAATATAAATCCTTTTTTGGTATAATTTTTAAAACCAAACCAATATAATAAAAAAATAAGTAGAAAATTAAATTAAAATAATTTATACAATTTTATTTATGAAAAATCGATTTGAATTCAAATACAATCCAATTGAAAATATGTATAAAATAATTTTATATAATTTTAGAAAAATAAAAACAAAATATCCAACTCAAAATATAACAAGCCAAAAGGCTAGCTTGCCCAATGATCTACAATGTTCCACAATTTAGATACTCCTCAATGCAATTGTTTATACCACTCAACACCCTATAATGTCGCAATAGTTTATCTACAAATGTTTCATAATTTCTTATTTCCTTTTTTATATTTTAGAGACGTTTAGTGGATTTTAATGATGATGATGGCTATGAGAGAAAATTTCGGATTATTAAAGTTTATAAGGCGAATAATGAAATGAAGGGGTTAATGGGTCGCACCATCATTTGTTGGCCCATCCTTGTCTCTCAACGTTACAATTTTTTATTTTTACTTTTATACATTTCCGCCGAAAAAAAAAGAAATTTTGTGAATGTATGAAATATTTTCAATATAATTTCTTTGCGCTTTGATGATATATCATAATTACGAGTGTAATATAGCTAATAAAAGTTTTAGGCATATATATTAAAAATGAAATAAATAGGAAATTTTAAATAAATTCCAATTATTTTATATCTTTGGAGAATACAGACGTATATTTCATTTGACTATTTATATCAAATGTTTGTTTTCCATTTTTACATGGAACTTGAATGAAAAACAGCAAAAAAAAAAACACATTATAAAAAGGGAGATTTTATTTATTTTTAATTAGCTAAAGCATATTATTATTGTATTTATAAAATGTTACAAAGAGAAAAGTGAGTGAGTGGTGTTGAGGTGTGGGATTTGGGCGGCCACGTTTTGGTGCCCACATGTTTAAAGAACCCAAAAGAATGAAAGATGAAATTTTTTTGTATAGGATTCTCCTTCCCCGGCCTCTTTTCCTTTCCCTTTATTTATTGCCCATGATTATGTATGTATGTATGTATGTATGTATGTATGTATGTATGGGTTCCAAAAATAATAATAATTTTCCATTAACATAGCAAATGTAGAGTATTAGTAATCTAGATTTACTACATTTCATCTTGCACATTTCAAATAAAAAAAATAAGATACTCATTTTCTCATTATTCTAAATAATATTATAATGGGTACCCTGAAATGAAATCATATGTATATATATATATATATATAAGTGACTACAAGATATAAATTTATATCATGAAAACAATTGTATAAATTTATTGTGCTATTTTTTTCGGCTAAATATATAGATCATTGCTTTACAATGAACCCTTCCTTTGGCAAATTGAAATAACACAAAATTCTTGTATGTTCAATGGTTACATAATAAATTTGTCTGATTCTCATTTCATCCTTCTATCTGATAATTCATTTGACCTCCATACCAAAAACATTAAACATTCAAATAGAATCATCCACTTTGTGTCTGGTCCTGATTTGTCATGCCATGTCGGGTCTAATCTCTCTCTTAGTTAGAGACCACACACATGATAGACACGTGAAAAATGGGATAAGAACTATGAGCGTGTGTGACTCGAGGGGGAATGATCGTGTGTGGACATGGTGGTGGTGGTTGCAGCATCATCGGCCCCATTCTCACTCCCCTCCTTGGCTTTCACGAGCCGCCGCTGCTCCACGACCAATGGCCTTTCCACGAACTTCTCTCCGGAAACCTCCCGTCTTCTCCGAGCAGCTCGACACACAGTACGATTTGTCACTTCTCTCTATTACCTGTTGCCGCAATTCTCTGTCTCGGGGCAAAAATAAAAATTGTGTTCAATTCTTTCTTCTGGGTTTCCAAAAAAACACGAAAAGATTGGAACTTTCTTTCTGGGTATCGAAAGGAAATGTGTTTCTTCAGGTGGATAATTACATAAAGAGTGGGATGGTCGTTGGGTTGGGATCCGGACAAGCCTCGGACATAGCTATACGGTATCTGGGTCAGCAGCTTCGCTCAGGTTCTATAGGCGATGTAACAGGCGTGCCCATGTGAGCTTATGCTCTTACAGTTACATTCATCTCGATCTTCTGCAATCATCAATCTCTCTGTACAGTGTTCATTGTTTGTCTGATTTCCTGTCTCGGAACAATGTGTAAGGTCTGCATCCAGTGCGAGTGAAGCAGCAAAAGCAGGAATTCCCTTGGAACAATTCCGAGATGATTTCCAAGTGATTTCCCTTGCTTTTGCTCTGTCTCTGTAACTTGTTCTTTGTGTCTGTGTTTCAGTCCTCGTACAGCTACGCAGTTAAAATCTCGCGGAGTGACTGTTCAAATCTTCAAACCTGTAGATTGATTTTGCATTTGATGACGCTGATGTTATAGAAGAGAACACACTTGTCGCAGTCATTGGACGTCGAAGACAAGATGATACAATTCTGCAACAGAAGGTGATGCATTTGCCATCTCCTCCCTCTTTACACTGTACAAAGAGGTGAAGTCTTTCTACACTTTGTTGCTTGCAGGCGATTCTAAGAGCAGCCCATGAGGTGGCCTTCATGATCAAAGAAGAACAGTACATGTCTGGTCTAGAAGGTTCTGTCCCTGTCTTAGTTCAATCTGTAAGCATGAATGAACTCTTTGAGATATATATATATATGCCCTGAAAGGAAGAACACAAAAATAACACTTGGAAATTGGAATTTCATGTTGCAAGCTCAACTGGATGGCCACAGCTGAAGAGATAGAGGACCTGTACTTAGGTGATGCAGAGGTAAATAATAATGTGGTCTTAACATGCATCCACCCGAAAAATTGGCTCAAGACTCTCCTTCATGTTGATGCCTTTGGCACCTCATTTGAAGGTGTGGAGAAGACCTTCCATAGGAGATGCAGGCCCTCTTGGAGGGGACTTTCCAGTTGTCACTAGAGAAGGTCATAACATTCTTGATGTTATATTCACAACTCCTATACCAAGCCTCAGTAAGCTTTTCCCCAATTCCATTTCCTTCTCCCCTTCTTGTTCTGAACCTCTTCTTCTCCATAGCTTTCCACTCTCCTGTACACTAATGATCAATGTGAATTCCAACAGTTCAGGTGGCTGAAAGCCTTGATAAGATCAATGGGGTAGTAGATCATGGACTTGTCATCAAAACCAGGTTATTAGCCTCGTCTCCTCTCTTTCATCATTTAGCAGGCATAGCAAATCACGTGTCGGTGTTCAGAAATCAGAACTCGGTTTGCAGCCAGAGACTAAGTTATTAACAATCCCATACCGAGATCATGGGGACGAGCTAACAAAACCCGTCTCAAAGTTCTGTGCTTTGGTGGTGCAGGTGCAAGGTGGTGATTGCAGCCGAAACCGGAGTGCGCACTGTCTCTTTGCAAAGCAGTGCAGTGGATGGCGGGTGAAAGACTCACCCACCATATTCATCAGCAATTTAAGGTTGCATAAATGTTACTGAAAGTGATAACTGGACACACGGTTCAATCTCCAGAAGTTCAGAAGACTACAATCTTATCATAATAGATCTGAGTACCGAGTACAGATTTGAAGACATGTAAAAATTAACAAGGTTTACTATCGGATCTTCCACAACATTTTTGTAGTAATGCACTCAAATATCAGTACCTAATTCTCCGGGGTTTGTGGATCTGGTGGCTCCAATAACCACAAGTCAAAACAAAGCATTGTTACGCTGCAGTAACCACACCAAACCAGTTTGTTACTTTGAAAATCAGACTGCATAAAAGAATTATCAAAGTTGATTTGCTTTATACGAGAGAAATTGGATCACCATTCATCTACAAGACTGACAAACTAGTAGTTCCAGATAATAAGCTGAAGTAATCATTCATCTGTCTACATGTTTCTCAGTCCACCAGGTATGACCTCAGAAGATGATCTAGTAAACCAAATTTAGGAAATCACGCTTAAGAGAACTTCAAGAGTATATAAAAACACATGTGGAGCAAAAGATCATCTGATGCCAGACAAATTTTCCAGACTTGGTTCTTGAGGGATAGCAAACAAGCTGTCCATGTCTATTCGAGCTAATTTGAACACCATTCTATCCACGTCGCTCTAAATGGATCTGGGAAAACTAAACAAAGCATGCCATCTAGCAACCAAGATAATCACAGGTTCATGCTTCTAACTGGGGAATCAGACAGATCAGTATGCATACACGAAATTGCTATCCAGATTTAAAGGTTCCGGGAAAGAGGAGATTCTACATCAGTTATCCATAGAAATGAATTACGCAGGATCAAATAAGCTGACAATCAACCCTTCAAGAAATCACTTTGAAGATAAAATACTCATCAACAAGCTGCGAACTTTCCAAGCTATGATATCAAATCAGTAGACTTAGGGATTGCAGCTATGTTACGAAGGCAGTAGCCGCACATTAGAGTCTGATGAGTTTACTCGAACAAACTATGCTTCCACAAACCCATGAAACAGCTCAAACAGTAAACAAAAACACAGGCGTTGCTAACCTATCACTGCTGCTGATTATGGGGATTCGGCGGAGGCATGCCAGGACGCGGTGGAGCAAATACGGGAACACCACCAGGCGGCGGAGGCATTCCGGGACGGGGCGGGGGCGGACCCGGAGGTCCTCTCATCATCGGACCCGGGGGAGGAATCATGGGTCTTTGCCCATATTGAGGCGGTGGCACGGGGAACTGCTGCGGAGGCGGCCTCATACCGTATGGCGGAGGAGGACCTTGCGGCGGAGGACCTCGCGCCATAGGTGGAGGGCCTTGACCAGCAAAAGCTGGAGGAGGAGGAGGCATCTGTCCCGGAGGCCGAATCACCGGCGGAGCTGAAAACTGCGGCGGACGGGAAATCTGGGGCTGCATCATCCCCGGAGCTGGTCCACCAATTCCACGAACAGGACCAGCAAGTCCAGGCTGAGCCTGAACAAGCGGAGCGGTGGGTACTCCACGACCGGCAGCACGGCCGATTCCGGGACCAGCAGCCGCCGCCGCCAAACCTGACTTCGCACGAGACTCTTCGGGCGGAGGCGGCCCCTCTACAGTCATTGAGATAACCTCTTCACCTCTGAGCAACACCAGACCGAGTGTTCGGCGTTCCTCTCTCTCCTCGTTGATCTTCTTGCCTTTCCCAGGAGGAAGCTTCCGGAACTCCTCGCAATCGCCGATTACAAGGTTCATGTGGCGGTCAAACGCCATGAACTTTCCGACCAGTTGCCGACCGTCCTGGATCGTCACCCGCATCCGGTAGTTGATGAACTGAAGCATCTTGGAGCTCTTCGACATCGACATTTTCCACCGAATGTGAGTAACGAGAAGCGGAAACAGAAAGTTACCGGCGATCTCACTTCGCCGGAGAAATCGAGCGATTAGGGTTTCAAAAATTCGAGAGGCAAGAAGTCCGTGGGAGCTAAAGGAGGGAAACTTCTAGGGTTTATTCATCGAAAGGGCCCTCTACTTACATTATGGGCTTTGTTTTCCTATGGGCCGAAACTTATGGGATTCGAAAGGAAGAAAGATAAATAAACTGTAAATTAATTTATTGGACAACTATGTTTTAAACTTTACATTTTTATCAAAATAAAAGCAAATTCTAAATTTTAAGAATTTATACTGAAATCTAATCCTTTTGATGAAATATAAAATCTTATGCTTTGAAAATATTACTTTAAACCTTAACTTTTAGTCGAACTATTTTGTTTCAAATATTAGTTTAATCTCATACAATAAGGTTTAATATGGGGTCTTCCTAAATGTAATTGTATCTATTTTATTTGTACCCATTGAATCTTGCATGAAATTATTGATTAAATATAAAATATCGATTTAGGCTTTCAATGGAGATGGCTTTTATTTTGGGTTTTTAGTTTTAGTTTTTGGATTTTGGTTTTTAGTTTTTGTTTTTTGGATTTTGGATTCTATATTATTTAAAAATTAAAAAAAAAAGTAGCTTTTGATTTTTCATTGATTTTTTTATTGATTTTTCCATTAAAATGACTTTCCAAGATTTTAGAAAAAGTAATTTTGTAAAAAACTGGTAATTTTTTTGTCTTTTAGATTTTAAAAACTCCCAAAACTATGACCATTCAAGGCCTTAGTTTGACATTAAATAAAAAAAGATTATCAACTAGACTGTATTTGTACCTGCAATTTTCAACATTAATTTCCGTACATTAATTAATTATATTTTAATACAATTCGGACGTATCGACGACTTATATTTCTTTTGGAGATAGTTTTGGCAGTTCTTAGGAAATTATACACCTTACATAATTTTCCAAAAAGATTGGAACTCAGAGATACGAGGAAACAACAGACAGAGAAACACACACACACACACACACAAAAAAAAAAAAAGAGAGAGAGGCTAAAGCCTGCAATCAAGGCTAAGCATATAATTATTTCAACTGTAAAGTGTACCAATACATATATAAGCAATGTATATATATATCCCCTCTATATCAACTAAAATCCACCAATGTTGTGCAGAAAAAAGAAATTAAACAACCAAAATCAGAATATGGAATCTTGGTTCAGTACGAACTGTATCCATGAGGATGAGTCTTTTGCCACTTCCAAGCAACCGCGAGACTGTCCTGAAGATTAGTGAATCTCGCTGTCCAGTTTAGATCTCTCAGAATCTTCGATGGATCACTGTAGACTTCTGCGTAATCTCCGGGTCTTCTCGGCAAGAACTCCACTTTGATCTCGGCTCCTGTCGCCTTCTTGCATGCCTCCACGAACTCCTTCACTGATCTTCCTGTTTCCGGACACGAATCAATATGATATGAGAAACCCTGAATCTGTTCTGCCCAAATGTAATAGAAAGTTTGTTTGTTTGTTTGTTTTTTTCAAAGTTTTCTGGATCGAAGGGATTAGACCTTGTCCGGTGCCGACATTGTAGATGGCAACTTTGCTGGGCCGTGCTTTCTCGAGAGCTTTCACGTGAGCGTCCACGAGATCTGTCACGTCTATGTAGTCCCGAATGCAGGTTCCGTCTGCTGTCTTGTAGTCTGTTCCTTTGACCTGTCGAGCCACCGATATAACAAACCAGATTTCAGCATTTTCGGTACAAAAACCTCGAGGATACGAAAATGGGAAAGGGGGGTCAAAGGTGAGGAATTTGAGAGAAGAGTGTACCTGAAGGCCAGGAATCACGCCACGAGCTGCGTCAAAGCATGCACCAGAGATCCGTCCATGCTCTCGGAGCTCAGGCCTTGGAGCTTCCCCTAATCTACCTTCTGGGTCTGAACCGATCACGTTAAAGTATCTGAGAAAAAGTTGTGATAAGATTATGAATACAAACAGATCAATCCCAGACCCAGCTATAGCGAAAACAAGATTGGTTCTTGGTGGTTTATCTAATCTAATGTACAAGGCCTGATTTATCCATGTTCGAGAAGCTTGAGCAGCATGGCAGAGATCGCACTGACCTTAGGATCATAACTGCCATGTCTGAGTTCTTGGAGAAATCCAGGATTATATCTTCAGACATCTTCTTAGCTTTCCCGTAAGGATTAATCGGGACCTGTCAGTGCAATTTTCTCTCATTAGAGAATAAATGCATTCGAAAGACAACGAACAGAGAGTTTCTGCAACTCCTGTACCTGTGGAGTGTCTTCAGTAATTGGCATCTTGTCAGGCTCCCCATATGTGGCACATGTGCTAGAATATATCAACTTCTTCACCTTATGCCGGGCCATAGCTTCAAGCACGACCAATGTGTTCGATGTAATATTGTGGTAATATCTGCAGAACATCAGAAACGGAGATCGGTTTTACGTAAATGCAGACGAAACCGACCCAAGAACTCCGAGTTCTGGTCATCAAATTGCAGAGATATGGTAATGACGATGATGACGAAACAGAACGAAGTCGGAGACTGTTACTTTAGAGGATCAAGAGTGCTTTCCCCAACATATGCAACAGCAGCAAAATGAATCACGGCATCAAACGCGTTTTCTGAAAAGATCTTGTCAACCTGAAAATGACAAAGTTTAGGACAAAACATCATCTGGCGAACTCGCGATTTTCAGACAGGTAGATACGAAAGCTGCCTAGAATGTTTTCAGCCATGGAAGCATACAGCTTTAGCATCTCCTAAGTCTGCGTAAATAAACTGAAGCCTCCCAGTTTCAGGAAACAATCCCTGTAAAACCTTGACAGCACCAATATTCCCTCGAGAAAGATTGTCCTGTCGAAGCAAGAACAGTGTTCAATCTCATCAACAAAAAGATTACTAAAAAGAATGCAAAATTACAGTTCAACAAAGAAAATTTACCACTATAGTTACTCTATATGAATCCTTCAGAAGCCTCAAAGCGGCATGTGATCCAATGTATCCAGCCCCACCAGTAACTAAAACATGAGTCACCCCCGGCTCATGGTGAGAGAACTGAAAGGTCAACATATCACAAAAAAAATCCTGAGTTAGATTTTCTAAGTTGCTTCCATCCATAGCCGAGAAAGTTGCAGAACAAGCTTAAATGAAAATCATGGCTCCTCTTCAAGATTCACAAACAAAAAAAGAGCCATATAAGAACCTTAGTATCTATCCAATCATCAATGGATTATTCAAATATCATCGATACACACAAAGAAAACGGTAAAAAACCATCGTAGAATTAACATGGGGATGATGGAGATACCGCTTTTGGGGTACTAAAACTGGGAGCTCGCTTGAGCATGATGATGCATAAAGCTGTAAGGGAAGCAACCAATATAATCTTTCCCACCAAATTGTTCTTCCTCTTCGGCTCCATGTAATCCATTCCTGCAAATACCATGGCATGTGTAGCAATAGGTAAATCACATCATATATATCATGTAAAAAAGCTCGAATTTTTCTCGTAATCATAGATAACATTTTAGCAACAGGTTATTGAGATTGAGAATATTCATCGATCTTTGGTGAAAAAGACCGGTAACAGATGCAGGATCCTTGAGCCATTTCTATGTGCAATGAAATCATTTTCAAGATTTGGTTGGAACATCATCTCACCTCCGAGAGACAAGGGTCTTGTGTTTCTTCCTGGACTTCTGGTTCTAGACAGATTAAGCATTGGACAACTCAGACTTCAGATTCTTTGATGTGTTGAGTTTCTTGCCCTTGGAATTGAGTGTTTAGACAAAATCCAAGAATGTTTCTTCTGTCACAAGGATCAGTAGTCAGCAACCATGGAGTTCATGCTCTTCAGATTGCTGCAGAGGATAAAAAAAAAAAGAGGAAATGACAAGAAAGTCAGAAACTAAAAAATAGACATAGATACAATACAAGTCAAAGCTTCAAGATCGTGCATATATGTAGACATGGAAAAAAGACGTAATATTTGTTGGAAGGTGGGACCTGGACGAGAAACCATGGAAGGAGAAAATCAAGAAAAAGACAAGCAGAAAGTTGATATTCGTGAAAATGACAAGATGGAAAACAAATATAAACTATAGAATTGATATATTTGTCATAATTGAAAAGATCGAATTCATTGTCAGATAGCATGGAAAAAACACGATCAGAGAATCACCAAAAAAAAGGGGGGACGATGAAAAGTCGTCGAATTTGATCCAAACTTCGTCGAAATTTCGTCGTGAAATTCACATCCATCCCCCCAGTTTTCCCCCAGAAAAAGAAATCCGCAATCCGTTTCTCTCCCGTTATATGAAATCGACGTCGAAATTATAATCGCCCACCCGTTTTGACTCAGAATCGCAACAAAACCATGAAATAATTGTGCAACTTGATCGGATTACGACAGTTCAGGAGAAATGGAGAAGACGACGATCCGTATCAGACAGTATATTTTTCCAAAGTAGAATACCTAACAGGGATATCTCTGTTCCATCAATCAATCGACGAGACAATGCAAAAAATCGTACTGAATCAAAGGAGGACAAGAACAGAGAGCATGAAATTACCTGAGAATTGTGCCAACGCTCGAGGAAACGGAGGAAGGCCCGATCGGAGAAAGGAAGAGTGTCATTTAAAACATTCTGATTTTTTTTTTTTTTTTTGCGAAACCGCAACGTTACATTAGTGAGAGGCCACGACGAGAGAAAACGTAAGAGCGAGAAAGAAATTTTCAGATTTTCCTTTCTGAGAGAGAGAGAGAGAAAATCGGGAGACGAAGACGACGGAGAAGAAGAAGGAGATGATGATGAAAGAAACGTGCAATGCAAAACGAAGGACGGAGACGACCTGGTCGCGATTATATATACACACACACATATGCAGTATATATACAAAATGTGTGTGTGTATATATCAGTGTATGTATATGTCGAGATTTTTTTCCCCTTTTTTTCTGGGTTTGCTTCTTTCTGTGTTTTGTCAAATGAAATGGAAAGACAGATGGTGATAGGCGAATGAATCCGGTAAATTAAGACATCTCATATCATATGTACGTATGTTATTTAATAATTTAATTTAATTTCTTTATCTAAATAGGACTTTATTATAATAATAATAAAATCTCATACAAAAGGGGCAACCATAATTACCAATCTCATTACATACATACTCTCTATTCCATGTGAAAATAGAATAATTAACATAAACAATTTATCAGTTTTATAATGATGAACCTCTAAAGATTTCATCTTTTGAAATGATAGCTTATACAATATTGCATGGTTGTTAAATATAATTCTAACATTTGTACGCGTTATATTTAAATATAAACATACCATTATATTTTTACGATTTAATTTCATTTTATACTATATTATTTTTATTGGTAAATAATTATATTTTAAAAAATCCATTTTTTATTTTTATTTTTAATTCGAAATCGAGTTTTTCGATTGTAAAAAAATATATATAACTTTTTAGCTACTAGATTAACAAAATTAACAACATAGCTATTTAGGGTTCGACTGGTTGTACCGCACCGGTTGCGGTTACGGGTGGCAGCGTTTTCAGAACGTTTGATAGCGATTATAAATGATTAGTACTGACTGGTTGAGAAGTTGTTGTTGGTAGCGATTGTGAGTGGGTGCAGTTAGAAGTGAATGATTCATTACGGTTGCGGTTGCGTTTTGATATAAATTGTCAAAAAAAAATATTATTTAAAAATAATTTTTTATAATAGTTTTAATTAAATTTTTCGTATCATTTGATAAAAATTATTTACTAAATTTATAATAATTAAATAATAAATTTAAAATATAAATATTATCAATTTAATTTATTTTTAAATAAAAAATAATTTTATTATAAAAATTATTGCAAGTTGGAAACCGCGATTAGAAAACACAAGTTTGGTTGCGGTTGCGGTTCAACCAATCAGTTTTTCAATCGCTCGCAACCGCCGAAAATCGCAACCGCTCCGATTGCGGGTGGCGGCGGTGCAAGCAGTCGCCCCCTTATTTGTTTGGATTTCAGTAAATGACTATACAATTTTACTAAATATATATGATCGTGCTAATCGATAGCACCACATTCATTCTACTTATGGTTTATAATTTCATAAAACAAATTCCGGTGTTGGTGTTATTATTTCATTAATTTTCATTTTCTTTGCTTATGGTTGATAATTTTCCATTTTGATTCAATGATCGGAATATTTCGGGGGAAAAAAATGATTGAATTAGAAAGAAGAATTGAATAAAGAAGATGTGACAATTAATTAGCAAGGTCGCCTAAAATCAAAGTCAAACAAAATTAGTATAAGGCCATACGTCGAATGAAGAACATGACATGGGGAGTTTTGTTTCCATCTTGGAAATTCGGCCAAACGAGAGAGAACGAGTGGTCATTTCTTTTAATTATTATAATGAAATTGTAATTATTTTATATTACCAATCATTGTGTGTTAGAATAAAAATAAAAATAAAAAGGAACGTAGTTATAATAATAATAATAATAATAATTAAAAAAAAGTTCAATGGAACAAGTGCTACCTAATGTAGCGATTGCCTAACTGTCTAACGTGACTACAGCCATCGTGGGCGATTATGAAATTGACTTTAGTCATGTATCCATGCATTTATATTTAATTATGATAAATTTTAGTCTCACAAGCAAGTCCTACTTCATACTTTATATGATCGATTAACAACTTATATATATATATATATATATATTTATTTATTTCTTTTTGTTGGTTAAAAATCAATATTACGAAAATATTTCGGAGGTTATGTACAGTCGAACCGAAAATTTTGAATACCACAATGTATAGTATCGAAGGATATATAAGTTTGATACTGAAATTTGTATAAAATATATAAATAATAATACTAAATCTAATGTACGGATCGTTGTGGGGAAGAATAATCGTAGATATATTATAGAAAAAATAATTTACGACAACGACAAGTTATCAACTAAAAGACCACATAATGCACAAATGGTATTAAAATTTTGTCTCTATTATATGAAGCGTAGACTATACACTCTATACGCTTAAACAATTACATTAGAATTAGACAAAGTGTGTATATATATATATATGTATATGTATTGTCGTTAAGAGGGATTAATATATTAACTTGGGGGCAAAACAAAGTTTTAGTTGCTAATTTAATTAGATTTTTTAATTGCAATTTGAAAATATCTCTTTCCTTTATATCTGAAGCTAACAATAAGTTATGCAGGTTTTATATCTTTGATATTTTATTTGTAGTGATATGATATCTACATACACTTTTAATTAAAATTACCGAAATACCCCTGCAATTAACAAAAATCGATCATGCTGCTGGGTTCAAATATCTTCTGATAATTGAATTCAACGCCGGGTATCCGAACATGACAAAAACGAAAATGAGATAATATAAGACGAATTCGAAGGCGGATATCTCCGAAAATCAAGGTATACGGTCCCCTTTACAAGAGACTTGATTCATGCATCCATGGCATAGTTCTCATAATTTATAACCATTAATTTTTATATGGAAGCGATCTTTACAAGATGATGGAATATTAAAAAAAAAAATCTCTGTCACTTTTCCTTGGAACGAAAAAAGATCAAGGCGTTTTAAACCTAAGTGCCATGAAAATACGAAGTGATTTTTTTTTCAGGGCCGATGAAGCCTAAGTGCCATGAAAAATACTGTAGAAGTCTTTGAAAACGCTACAGATTCTATTTGCAGAAAAAAGAGGCCTCTCCTCTCGAGGATGGCGGTGGAGTAGGCCGCCATTGTTGCCAATTCGAGCTCTCTGCAGGACTGTATCAATGGCTTGAGATTTGGAGTGGCAGAATCTGGTGGTGATCTGCATTTTCCATCGCATTTGCGTGTGTGACAAGCAAAGTCGAGAGCTTTCCCGTGCGGTATCGGACCGGGAACTGAAGGGGGACGATCTTTGTCACGGCCGCAAGAGAGGGGCCACCGGCTTCTTCATGGTTGCACTGTCTGTGCTTTTTTTGTTATGGTGGTTTTTACAGGTCGCTCTTTGCTGTTGAACCCCTGTCTAAAGTAATGTATCACGTCTTACCCCTTCCCTTGGATTCATTTCATTTTTTAGGGAAAATTCCAAAAAACCCACTAAACTTTCAAATTTTGACAAAAAAAAACACTCAACTTTTTATTTTATCAAATAAGTATTAAACTTTTTAAATTTGACAAAATAAACACTTAACTCTTCTACGATTGTCAAAATAAACAAAATGAATGACGTGACACAATGAGAGATGCAAACACGTCAGATTATTTTACTTAGTTTTTTTTTTTTACAATAAATAAAAAAAATTTCATATATTTTTTTGAATCATTTAAAAAATTCAATGTTTTTTATATTCGTTTAAAAAGTTTAATATTTATTTGATAAAAAAATAAATTCTAGTGTTTTTTTTGTCAAAATTGTAAAATTCAGTTGTTTTTTTTATTTTTATTTTTTTATTATTGTTATATTATATATATATATAACGTCGAGTGGGGTGCATGATTATTTAATTATTGGTGCTCAACACATGCCGGCTTATTATAAAAATCAAAAACCTACTTGATAATTAGTGGTTGGAATATTAGAGTTGTGACAATCTTATTTAATGGTTGAATTAGCAATAATATTGTAATTTCTCTCATGATGATCGAGAAATCGAATGACATAATATAAATATCATTAAGAAATATAAAAGGAAGTAGGATTAGGTTAAATATGGACTTTTATAAATAAGGATCTTATCAATTCCCATTATTGAATGTTGTAACCGAATTAGATAATAAAATCGAGTTTAAAAAAAATAATGCAATGACTTGACCCACAAGTTATGTCAATCTTATATAATTTATGTCTTTCACACACACACATATATATATATATATATATGTATGCAAATGCGCAGAGCACACATACCATTAAAATCAGAAGCCATCCATCCAATAGGGCAATTCAATTTCTCAAAAGAAATGGAATGTCCAAATCCTGTCCCCATATTTTCATTTATTTCGTTTTTAGCCCTATATTTTTCATCGGTTACTCTGACACTCTCACAAGCCTCTCTGCAAGAAAACTTCATCGGCTGGATCAATGGCAACTCCGACGTGTCTTGTCCGATCATGAAGACGACGTTCTTCACGCCCAAAATAAACGTGTCGGAGTTTGAGGAAGTGCTGGAATCGACGGCTCAGAATCTCCGGTACTTGACGAAGTCAATGCCTAAACCGGAGTTCATATTCGAACCCATGTACGAAACCCATGTCCGAGCTTCTGTAATGTGTTCCAAGAAGCTCGGAATCCATCTCCGTTTCAGAAGCGGTGGACATGATTACGAGGGCTTGTCGTATGTTTCTCAGATTGAGGCACCCTTTGTCTTGATTGACCTGTCGAAGCTCAGACAGATCTACGTCGATATCCAAGATAATACCGTTTGGGTTCAAACTGGTGCAACTGTTGGCGAGCTTTATTACAGGTTAAGACAACAGCAAAGATCCAAATTTCTTCTTCTTCTTCTTCAACATCAAAGATGGTGCATCATGGGCCATTTCAGATCTTGGAGATGATGCCTGTAATAACATCATGGGCCATTTCAGATCTTGGAGAAGTTTCTTTTATGCCTCTCCAAGAAACACATCCTCTCTTCCTCCACTTCTTCTTCTTCTTCTTCTTCTTCTATAGTTGAATTTATTACGGCCTTGTCTTAACGAACCGTTTCACCGTTTTGGATTGTCAGGATCGCGGAGAAGAGCAAGAAGCACGGGTTCCCTGCAGGGTTGTGCTCCAGCCTAGGCATAGGAGGTCACATAACCGGCGGAGCATACGGTTCAATGATGAGGAAGTACGGCCTCGGAGCGGATAACGTTCTCGATGCCAGGATCGTCGACGCAAACGGTAACATCCTCAACAGAGAATCCATGGGCGAAGATCTGTTCTGGGCCATCAGAGGCGGAGGCGGGGCAAGTTTCGGCATCATTCTCGCCTGGAAGATCAGACTCGTCCCCGTTCCAGAGACCGTCACCGTTTTCACGGTAACCAAAACGTTAGAACAAGACGCTAAAAGGGTTCTTGCCAGGTGGCAGCAAGTGGCAGATAAGCTCGTCGAGGAGCTGTTCATCCGAGTCATCTTCAACGTCGCTGGAACGGGAAACAAGACGGTGACAACCTCGTACAATGCTCTGTTCCTCGGGAACTCGAGCACTTTGTCAGATGTAATGGAGCGGAGTTTTCCGGAGTTGGGTCTAACGAGGCAAGATTGCATCGAAATGAGCTGGATCGAATCGATCGTATACATTGCCGGGTTCCCGAGCAAGACTCCTCCCGAGGTTTTGCTTCAAGGGAAGAGTCCTTTCCCGAAGGTTTACTTCAAAGCCAAGTCAGATTTCGTGAAAGAACCGATCCCGGAATCAGGGCTCGAAGGCATGTTCAAGAGGTTGCTCGAGGAAGATTCACCGATGATGATATGGAACCCCTACGGGGGAATGATGGAGAAAATACCCGAATCCGAGATCCCTTTCCCGCACAGGAAAGGAGTCATCTTCAAGATTCAGTATGGGACAAGCTGGCGAGACAGCGACAAGAAACCGAGCAGACACATGGACTGGATCAGGAGGCTGTACAGTTACATGACCCCGTACGTCTCGACGCTACCACGCGAAGCGTACGTGAACTATCGGGACCTGGATCTCGGCATGATGAACAAGAAGGACGAGAAGGCGAGCTTCGTACGGGCTCAGGTCTGGGGGGCAAAGTACTTCAAAGACAATTTCAACAGATTGGTCAGAATCAAGACAACGGTCGATCCAGACAACTTCTTCAGGCATGAACAGAGCATTCCTCCTTTCCCAGTTCGAAGCTAAACAAGGTTGACCAAGTATACACAACACTCTGTTCGATACAGAAGGTTTGTTGAAACACGAGGAGGAAGAAGACATATCTTTTGTTTTTAATTTGAAAAAGCTTCTAAAACCATAAGAATTCAGCTTCATTCCACACAGTTTTATTATGATATGTAAATAAATATATGCACCTATACGGAAACATATATTTACATATCATAATAAATTACCGAACCGAGTAAATTTACGATTTTGTCCTTCCTCCCGCACCCTGATTTCGTCCATAATCCAATCTCGCAAATCCCTAACTCAAAAAATTGGTTGGTTTTATTTCCCAATTTTCAATTCAATGGAAACACTAAAATTAAAGAACCGAACATAAAAAATCTATGTGATATATATATATATATATACATGCATATGTATTTGGCGAGATTTCACACAAATACGGAATCTCTGTCACGAAGTCAAAACCCGTTACGTTTCTCTTCTAACTCTTTTTTTTTTGTTGCCTTTGAAGAAAAAAAATCTCACCGTCGTCGTCGTTGACCCCCGAATCTCTCTCACCACTGTCCCTCTCTCCTTTTCAATTTCCTCTGAATTCTTCACCCAAAACCCTAGATTCCTTCCTGTCGGTTGCCTCCATTACCATCACCTTCACCGTCAACGACCCTCGATCGATTTTCGCTAAAATCCCACCAAATTCATCGGAAGCCACCGTGGTCGAGCCCTCGTTTTCCGATTCCAAACTCGAGAACAATCTCCGTGAGTATAATGTCGAACGAAAGAAGAACTTGAGGAGAAATCTTATCCTATGGAGCACGGGTTGAGCAGGTAAGTTTTGTCACCTCTTCAGATCGATTTCGGTTGCGAACATTGTCTTTGTCGTTCAGAGGCATTGATCACTTGTAAAGACTTTGTCTATCCAATTTAGGGTTGCTAAATTTTCCATGAAAGGTTGCTTCTTGGGTTTTCGCTTTCTCATTGATTCAACGGGCTTTTAGTGAACGAACACCAAATGCTTCATAGGAAAACTGTCTTCTGAGATTCAATTTGTTCATTTTGTTTGGCCCTCTTTTTATCTGGTTCATCTTCCTCAGATTAGTTGAATTTAGCATCATTTTGAAGGAAATGCATTAGAAAATACTGAATGTTGCTGTTGTAAAGCTTAGAATTAGACCTTTGTTAAATTTCTTATTAGATTCATTAGCTTTTTCGTCATCTGGGGAGCCCTGGCACTCGTTCTTATTCTTTGATATGCGTGTTTTAAGTAATTAGATAAGAACCCTAGCCTGTCTCCGAATCTGTTCGTTTTCAGAGATTGGCTAGAGATGCCTCCCTGTCAAAATTATGAAAATTTCATATGATTAACTTCCATTTTTTTAACATTGTATTTTGGGATTGATTGTCTAGAATGTGTCTTGTCTTCTGGTTTCATTATTAGGCAATAAGTAACTTGACAACTTAGAAATGGATTTCAGATCTTTATTTAGGTTTCCTATTTTATTACGTTGTATTTAGGGAACTGTCAGTCTTATCCAAAAAAGAATGATCTTTAGTTGTAAATTCTGCTGTCTATGCTTTCTTTAATCTGCCTTGTGATTACCTGCTTGGAGGGATATCTGAGAAGGGTAGGTCCATGTCAGTAGCTTTCCTGTATTGATCATCGGGGCAATGCCGATATTGTTCTTCTTTTAATCTGTCAATCTTCTGTTCATCGGAAAATCCTGTGTTCTCTCTCTTTCTCTGCATTTTCTGCCCTTGCTCATGCTTTTTTTTTTTTTTTTTTTTTTTTGTTGGAGCTTGTCGTGTATTCCACCCTTCGACCCTTTGTCTCGCTTATCTGTGAGTAGTCTCAAAAGCAACAGACAATAAAAGCAAACAAAACACACTGAAAATTTAAATCAATCAAAGGAAAATACTCGGGTTGCCTCCCGAAAAGCGCTTGCTTCCTGCATTGTAGGTTTTTGTTGGAGTCAATCACAATTTCAGACGCCTTCTAATAGGGTGTATAGTCAGAATGTGGTGATGTCTGATTTCATTCTTTTAAGTAATCCGATTCCATTTTCCGGTTTCAGATTCTGAAGGTGGGTCGAAGGTGATTGAAGGCACCATCTCTTTCGTGGTGTCTGACGATATAAATGCTCTAGATTCAAGAGAAGAGGTGGAGCATGAGGTTGGAAAATTTCCCGAAACGCTATTTGATCGTCTTTTTAACTTTCCTCTGCACCTCTGTGTGTTACATAGAACGCGTCGGCTTCTCCATTGCATACACAGTTGCTGCAGATGCTGTCGGGATTAACCAATCGAGTAAAGGAACCATACTGTCGACATTCTTTGTCGGGTATGCTTGTTCTCAAGTTCCCGGAGGTTGGGCGGCTCAGAAGATTGGGGGAAGGAAAGTTCTTCTTCTTTCCTTTGTTTTATGGTCGTCCACTTGTTTTCTGGTTCCTCTTGACCCGAACAGAGTCGGAATCTTGGTCGGGGCCCGTTTACTCGTCGGCGTTGCCCAAGGGTTTATCTTCCCCTCGATCCACACGGTCCTGGCTCAGTGGGTCCCACCTCACGAAAGATCTAGGTTGGTTTCGATAACGACATCGGGAATGTACCTCGGTGCAGCTATAGGGATGTGGCTTCTACCTGCCTTGGTCGAGTTTAGAGGCCCGCAATCCGTTTTCGTGGCGGAAGCATTAGCCGGAGTCATATGGTCAGTGCTTTGGCTTAGGTATGCGACCGACCCACCTCGTTCCGAGCATCCAAAAGCCGCGGCTGCTGGGTTTGGAGGTTCGTTGTTGCCGACAAATGTAAACCAGAACGGTGGATTCCATCCTAAAGCTACCAATATCCCGTGGAAGAACATCATGCTCAGTCTACCGGTCTGGGCGATCGTGGTGAACAATTTCACGTTCCATTACGCTCTTTACGTGCTAATGAACTGGCTGCCTACGTATTTCGAGCTCGGTCTCCAACTCAGCCTTCAGAAAATGGATTCATCGAAGATGATGCCTTACCTCAACATGTTTGCATTCTCAGTCCTCGGGGGTTTCATCGCTGACTACTTGATTACAAAGAGAATCCTCTCGGTAACCCGAACCCGGAAATTCTTGAACACAGTTGGGTTTGTAGTTGCTTCTGCAGCTCTAATGGCGTTGCCACTCTTCAGAACCTCTAATGGCGTCATCTTCTGCTCTTCTGTGGCCCTTGGGTTCTTGGCATTAGGAAGCGCGGGTTTTGCGGTGAACCATATGGATATCGCCCCGAGATACGCGGGGATTGTGATGGGAGTTTCGAATACAGCCGGGACCTTGGCCGGAATCATAGGTGTCGACCTGACCGGGAAGCTTCTCGAGGCGTCGAAAATGGTGTACTCCGATCTGTCGAATCCAGAGAGCTGGAGGGTCGTGTTCTTCATTCCGGGGTTGCTCTGTATATTCAGCTCCGTCGTGTTTTTGATATTCTCGACGGGCGAGAGGATCTTCGACTGAGGGAAAAAGGTCGAAACTTTCTCCGAGGGTTGGGGAAGGAATCCGAGGGAGACCGGAAACTAGCCGCTGGGAAGTGCCACTATCTATTCATCAAACCGTTGGGGACATGGAGGAGATTGAAGACAACTGTTCTTCCCTTCAGTACAGATTCAGCATTTGAGTAGTACAGTCTCTGTCTGATTCATGTTCTGGGAGAGAAAATTCTCGTTCTTGGCCGTTTTATCTGTTACCCATTTTGTTTTTTTTTTAAATATTTTTTTTTTAATTCAGAATTCTTCTTGTTTTAGACAAATGAATAAACTACTCCAGGGACCCCACCCTGCTGCGGATCTTTACATGAAATATTGCAAGACACTGGGTTTGACCTTTTGACTTTCATCCTAACAATCGACACGTTCCTCTCATGCCGCGAAATTCCCCGCCGACACCTTTCTTCATGGTCTTACGCGCGCACGTGTGTATATATATGCACACACACAGGTGTGTATATATATAATAGATACACATATATACGTATATACACACGCGACTCGATCCTAGGATGTTTTTGTTGAATATCTTACTTAGTAAGGCACATATCTATCGATAACGTTTCCTTGGAAAAACATACGTGTAATGTAATAATGAGCAAATTATCCGAATAATAAACCAAATTTTGAGTAGTTTTAGGGTTTATTTCACCATTATCTCAAAAATGTGAAACTGCCTATTCTTGACTGGGTTTTAATTTAATGCCTTCTGTTTTTTTCTCCATAAAACTCCAAAATTTTCAATCAATTTACGTCAGTGTGATAATACCATTATTAGTACCAAATAAAAGAAAAATAGCCTTTTCTGTAATATTTAACTCCATAGCCCGTTTCTGATCTTCTGAAACTCACTTCCTGTCTGAAACAAGCAGAGAGAGAGAGAGAGAGAGCAAATGAGAGGAGAGCTTCGAGGGCTTGTCCTGCTTCTGTGTCTGGTCTCGATCAAATGGGTGAACTCAGATCCCACCAAAGAACAATTTCTCAGTTGCATGTCAGCACAGTTCATAGTATCTCCCGTCAAAACCCTAGAAAGCTTCGTCCACTCTCCAGATTCCCAAACCTACACGAATTTCTTCCAATCCTCTGCTCCAAATCCCGGATGGCTGAGCTTGAATTTCACCAGCCAGAAGCCGCTTTTCATCGTCACACCGACCCGAATACCCGAAATCCAGAGATCAGTCCTCTGCGGCAAGAAACTTGGGCTGCAAGTAAGAACCAGGAGCGGTGGACATGACTACGAAGGACTGTCTTACCTCTCCGAGTCACCTTTCATCATTCTCGACCTCGTAAGCTTCCGAGCCATCCAAGTCGACCTCGCGGAAGAGTCCGCATGGATCCAATCAGGCGCAACGATCGGCGAACTGTACTATAACATCGCAAAGATGAGCAAGATCCATGGCTTTCCTGCAGGGACATGCCCTAGTGTCGGAGTTGGTGGGCATTTCAGTGGCGGAGGGTTCGGTTCCATGATGAGAAAGCACGGTCTGGCTGCTGATAACGTGATCGATGCTCGGTTTATGGACGCGGATGGAAGAATTCACGATAGGAGAACGATGGGAGAGGACCTGTTCTGGGCGATCAGAGGGGGTGGAGCTGCGAGTTTTGGAGTTGTCCTGTCATGGAAGATCAAGCTGGTTAGGGTTCCTGAGAAGGTTACTTGCTTCGTAAGTCACCATACCATCCGACAGAACCTGACCAAACTGGTTCACAAGTGGCAATACATCGCCGCGGAACTTCACGAGGATCTGTTCATCAGAGCCATACTTTACAATGCAGGTGGAAGTCCAAAGACAGTTCAGGCTACATTCCAAGCGCTGTTTCTTGGAGGAATCGATGGATTGATCCCTCTGATGAACCGAGATTTTCCGGAATTAGGTTTACGCCCTCAAGATTGCGCGGAAACGAGCTGGATAGATTCGATACTGTTCTTCTCGTGGAAAAGAGGGCAACCTCCTGAAGTCTTGCTCGACAGGAAAGAACGATACAACGATCTCTACTTCAAGGCGAAATCAGATTTCGTCCAGAACCCGGTTCCCGAAACCGCTCTCGAGGGCGTGTGGAAGAGGTTTCTCGAGGAGGAAAACCCTGTGGTGGTCATGGAGCCATTAGGAGGGAGAATGTACGGTTTTTCAGAAACGGAAACGCCATTTCCGCACAGGAGAGGGAATCTGTACAATATACAGTACATGGTGAAATGGAGAGTGAACGGAGTGGAGGAGATGAACAAGCACGTGACGTGGATGAGAATGCTGTACGAATACATGACGCCGTATGTGTCGAGATCTCCGAGAGGCGCGTATCTCAACTACAGAGATCTCGATCTGGGCAGAGACAACGGAGCCAACACGAGCTTTGCCGATGCGAGCCGGTGGGGCGAGAGGTACTTCAAAGGGAATTTCAAGAGATTGGCTCTGGTGAAAGGGAAGGTTGATCCTGGAAACTTCTTCAGGAATGAACAGAGCATTCCACCACTACAAAGACAGCAGAAGAAACGCCATTGATTCTCAGACACAGCCCTGTTTCATCATGTTCTGTCCTGTCCATGTTCATGTTCTGTTCTGTTCCTATTCTGTGCAAGAACCTTCTGCACCGCAGGAGTCAACATCTTGATCAGGAAACAAGAACCGAGAATGCGTCTTCTTCACATTTACGATGAATATGGAATACAGCCCACATGAAAATTCACTCACCGAATTATTCAGAGGAAGAAACGCCATTGATTCCCAGACACAACCCTATTTCATCATCATGTTCACTCATCTCCATGTTCATGTTCTGGTTTATAAACAGTTTATGTTACTAGTCGAATTACCCATTCAATGTCCAAAGGAACTCGAATTCAGACAGAAAGAAACAGAAAAAAAACATCAAACATAGGCTAACCCACGATCTAACAAGGATACCCAGATGGAAATTGCCAGCTTTATGAGCAATTCATGGGCAAAGTCCCAAACTTTCAAGGAAAAAATTGGATAAGAACAACACGAGAAGGATCTTTTCACAATAACCAGTTAAAGATTCGATCACAGAAGTGAGGGAAACGAAATTATGGATCAGAAGGAAAACCCCATGTTTTCAGTTCCTAAATCCGGTTTAAATAATTAAGCAAAAATAAAAATAAAAATTACAGTTTTATAATGTGTGTAATTCATTGAAAGAAATGCTATATTTTTTTAAAAAAAAAATGTTAAGGAATATTAAGTATGAATGGAGTCGGTCCATCAATATCCCAAATTCTATCTAACATGTAGGATGTTGAATGCATATGATAAATTTGAATAGAATTTGAAAGAACCTTGCTTTAAAAACCAAAATGTATATAATCGAAAACAATACTCCCAGACTTTAGTTTTTTCATCGGAAATTAAGAAAATACCCCCAAATTGGAATCAATTATTGAAATATATATATGAAAGAACTATATTATGCCATGCTGCTTTTCGGCCCAACATTGACAATGATTTTATTTTTAAAGCATGGTCCAACACATTTCACGTGGAAAAAGCCACTTTAATTTCCAACACAATTAATTACTCCAACTCTTCTCATATCCCTCGTTTTAATTATATTTTTTTTCCATATTCACCGCTGCCGCAACAAAGTCTTTTTATATTGTTGTCAATTAAAGCTAATATTTATTCATCATCAAATAAAATATTCTTTAGTGTATTTATGTTGTTTTCAATCAAAGAAATTTAAAATGATAGGCAACAACTTGATTGGTATTTTTCCAAAGAATAATAATGATACCCTCAAAATATACGAAGAGAAGAATATTGATAAGGTTATGTTTGATTTTGTTTTTATTTTTAGATATTTATATTGATTAAATAAGATATCATGTGATTCTATTATTTATTTATAAAATTTTATATTAAATAATAAAAAATCTAATATTTTTTTTTAAAATAATATGGAATCATAATATTATTCATATAGAATATTATAATATTTTCAGATAAAAAATAAAATTAGATAATATTTTATTTAATCAGGTATAATTGCAAAGTATACCTGATCTTTACACATGTCGGAAAAGTATATATAATAAGAAATGGATAAGAAACCCATAGATTAAAAGAAACATAGATAAAAAAAAAGATTCTTGATGGGAGGAATTTTATCGAATAGTGTCAACAAAACCATTTATTTTATAAGTTTAAATATAAATTATTTCAGAAAGAATGGTTAATTTCTTTGTATTCCCACAGATTTGCAAATAATTGGCACGTATGTCATTGCGTAAATGTTGTTGCCACGTAAGCTACATGCACTTTTCACACTTTTGGTGGGGTGCAATTTTTATCCTATAATTTAGATAATATACATGCACCCTACCATAAATATCGTTTTAAAAACTTTTTATAACTATTAAAAAATATAAAAAATTATATATTTCTTCGTTGGACCATAATCTTATTAATATTTTAATTAAAAATAAAATTAGATATTTTTTTAAAAATCACTAAAAAATCTAAAATAATATTTATTTAATTACACAGAATATTCTCTAAAACGAGATATATTTAAAAAGGGAAGGAATAATATATTTTGTTTTGTATTTTCTCGGAGTTAGAGGGGAAATTTTTTTACCTTCACATACCTTCAACTAGTACTACGAATAAAATTCTGTCGGTAAAAAGAAGTAAAATTTACAGTTCCGAAGCAAACACGTGAGCTTCGAGGTTCGAACTGCCCGACACGTGATCTTTCTCCCGCCTCCGCCGTCAACCACCGGCCACCGCTAAACCCCGGCGGCGGAGGAAACTTTCTGGACAGAGGATGAAAAATTTTCTGAAAAGTTTTTCCGGGGCTTTAGATTTGTCTGAAAATCTAAGGATCAGACACCAAAACAGAAACAGAGCGATGGCTAAAAGCTTTCCTCCTAACAGCCCAACAAGCATCATCACGAACAGAACAAACACGTTCGTTTTGCCACTGTTCCCTTTTGATGATCCATCCTGAGATTCTTCTTCTACCTCTGTGCAGTTCTCCAACAATGGCGGATTCGGATCATCGTCGTCCATTTCAGAGATTTCGCTTCCGACTCTCTCTGATTTATCGTCCGAAACCAGGCTCGAGACTTCTGTCAAAGACCCTTCTTCTTCTTCTTCTTCTACCGATTCTTCCTCTTTCTCCTTCTCTTCATCGATCTTCATCGATTTCTTCTTCTTCTTCATTGAACTAAACTTCTTCGGCACTATTTTCTTCATAATCTTCGATTTAAGTCTCGAGCTTTTACTTCTCTCGTCCTTGAACACCAGATCCCGTATTGTCTGCACTTCTCCCTCCGCCGTAACTTTTGCCCTCCTCGAATCTTCTGCCGATGAATCCGCCTCCGGGATTACCACTAGCTCTGGCTCCGACCAAGAAACCGTATTCGTACATTCCGTACAGTCCCTTGAATCTTCGAAAGTTTCTGTAATTTCGCAAGAACTCGAGTTTTCGCCGTCGGTTTTGACCGTTTCCCCTTTCCCCGGAAACCTCTCCAAGAAGGAACGAAGGCGAGTCCTCGCGTTCGGACAGAATTCCAGGCGCGTGAACACACGCGCCGCCGCGAACTCGAGGAGGAGGAGCGCAAAGGCCGAGAGCGTGATCCCCACCGTCAGCTTCTTCGTGCTCAAGGCGATCACCGCCACAACGAAAACCTTCACCACCACCATCACAACGCACGCGCCGTCGCCGATAGGCGTGTTCTCGGTGGAGATACGCTCCTCGATCTCACTGCTCGCGACGGTTTCTCTCTCCACCGGCGGCGGAAGCGGGGCCGGCGGAGGAAAGGAGCTACGCCGCGTCAGAGGCGGAGGCGGAGAGGGAGGAGGGTTAACGGTGGAGGATTGGCGGCGTTTGGAGGAGTGCTTCTTGAGGCGATCGCGGTTCTTGACGAAGAGATCGATCAGCGATGTCGGGAAACCTGTCTCGACGACCAGAGATCCGCCGTGTTTGGACGACTGTTGGAGGTCGGAAACAAGCCGCGAGATCCGACCAGACTTGGCTTTCTTCCATGGAAGAGGCATGGCGTCGTACGGACGAATCCCCCCGCCAAAACTGAAAATTCAAAAAGAAACCAGGAAAAGGAGAAAGCTTTCCCACTCTTTCTTCGTCTACCGAGGATACAGAAACTAGGGTTTCACGCAGAATTTGAAAAGATTAAGATTTGCTTGGTGGGTCGAAGCCATTAATACGCAGAGAAATAGCAATGAATGGAGGCCATTGCGCAGAAAGTGAGGTTTTTTAGAGAGAAAAAAAGGGTGAGATGCTTTTTACAAAACGCGGGGGGAAATGATGGGAGGGGTCGCGTGACTCAACCCAATCCATTTTTTTAAAATTAAAAAAAAAAACAAAAAAACAAAATCCTTTTGTTAATAATTTTTTGCATTTATTTTTGGTTAGGAGATTTCTAATTTTGAGGATTGAAATTATTTTGTATCATTTTTTTTCCTGATTTTATATTGGGTTGTTATTTAGTTTTTGCTATTTTAAGGATTTGATCCTCTGGTGTTTTCCGTAGAGAAACTCGGACCTTTACATCATGTGAAGAGACATTACTATCTACACTATTGTTGACTGCGCCACAGCAATTCGTAACGGTTGCATTCATTGCTTGAATTGCAATCGCGAATAAATATAACAAAACTTTAAAAAATCTAATAAAGAATTTCAACATATATTTTTATTAAAAAAATAAGATTATATTTTGTTATGAATATAATAGTTTTAAACCCTTTAATAAAATTTATCATATATAATAGATATATCAGTCAGACATGTATGTATTATAAATGCTAAATTATGTTTTTTAAAAAATCAAGTTATCACTTTACCCTATTTATTAAGTTCAATATCTTTTTTTTTTAAACTAAAAAGTTCGTCCGATCTTTGACCCGATTATATCTCCTATAGTCTGGGAGCGATCTTTAAAACGCACCTAACTGGCGATAGATGCCCAAAGAACAACACCCTTTCAACCAATTAAATGACACCTTTCCCTCCCCAACAATAGAGGTCCAAAAAGCAACACACCGTCTCTAAGCACTCGCGGTAAGTTCAATGGGTAAGTTCAATATCTTTGTTTGGCCAAATTTAATTTCAGTTACTTCTTGTCTTTTGGACATAAATAATTAGAACACTGTATGTGAGGTCTAATCGTAAGCCTTTCACCGATATAAATGACTTTTGCGACTTTTTCAGGCCAAATGTCCTAAACCTCAATAACCTTGGACCTAATCCAAATAGCTCGATTTGTACGAAAAGCCAACCACCAATTATATCTTTTTTCCTTATTTTATTATCCAATACTAATTCCTCACTCCTTTTGGGCATGGAACTATAATATATATGTATATATAATATAGATTCGCCATGTGATTAGGGTTTAGGTTGTTGTGAGAAAATGGGCTAAGAAAGAAAATGGGCCTTGGGATGAGTTTGACCGTGAAATACCCATATGTATATACATGGGGCGCACATTTTTAAGAAAACAAAGAATATAAAGTTAGAGTTTTTTTTTTTAATAATCCGGAAATTCACGAAGCCTCTCCCAAATTTGAATTTGAGCCAGGATAAGACCACTAGACGATTCAAGCTTGGGTTATATAAAGTTAGTTATTTGGATCACAAATTCTATGAGAAACATAATTATATAATATATAACTCTAACGCCATAATTACCAATAAGAATGATCCAGTTATATAACCGTATAACTAAAATCCATATGATATTATCTATCGACAATATAACATTATTAGATATATAAAACGAATGCATAACTTTTTTTTGCCATTACAAATTCAGGCAATTATAAGGGTCATTGTTGCTTGCTCACTAATCTTTATATATATATATTTCAAAATTTTATTTCGCAATTCTTAATTTCCTTGCAATGTTCGAGCATGAAACGTTTCTGCAAGTACAGAAACTGTGTCAAATTATACATCCTGTGATCAAGAATGGGCAGAATCCTTATTACACGAATCACATTATTTGCCGGTTCACGCATGTCGGGTTATCTTCTGTTACGAATGGTTTTTATATACTTCATGCCTCGTCTTTGCCGTTGTAAAAGTACCGGAAAACACACGAGAAGTCCCTCGTCTCATGACCGTCCTCACAGACCTTTGTGTACCTGCAAAGAAAACTCGGAATTCTTTCTGACCCTTTCACGTAAGAGGATTCGGAAAAGAAGGACAACTGAACTGATGTTCCAATAGACACGGAACTCTCTGACAGAGGTTGGGGTTTACTACAAGACATTGAGAGGTTATGTATGGGAAACTTACATTCCTTGTGCTTGGGAAGTTAAAGGGTGCCTGAATCCAGCTTCTTCTGCTGCTTCTGCTGCGAGGTTTAGGTCTTTAGCCTGCAGTTAACAGAACAGAGCAAACACTGTTTCAATCTTATCCGTTTTCCAATCGAAGATATTGTATTGGAAAATTGACAATCAAGAACAGAATCAAAATGCGTATGAACGTATAGATCCATGAATTTCTCCTAGGTTTTTTTTTTTTTTTTTTTTTTTTTTCA